TTGCATAAATAAAAAAGCAAGTTTGTGTTGTTTTAATAGTTGTCCTACATTTAGTTTGTTTTTATTTTTTATTCTGTTGGATACATTTTTTATATATTCTATAAGATACTTTTGCTATTAAAAAACAGCACCACCAATACTCTCTCAAATATGTACATGAAGTAAAAAAATGCTAAAATTATAACAAGACTAAAGCAAAAACAAACAAATACAAAAATATAAATACCAACACAATATGAGTTTCTGTGAGCTGTGGATGTATAGTTATTTGTAACTGTATAAGGTATGTCCCCACAAGGTCTGAAATGCTTCAAAAAACTAGAAAAATTATGTTTAACTAAATCCAATAAATAAATTGTATAATTGTTTACTCATTATTAATTTTTTACTTTTTTAAATTCCTTTTTATCAAATGAAGCAGAAAAGTTAAAAACCGGCCTCCAAGTGTCGTCTTTATTTTGATTATACATTCATAAAATAGACTAATGGAGCCAAAACAACAACAAAAATTTGCTTGAATTCCGTTTTTTTTTGACAATTGAGACAATTTGTACATTTCTATACTTATAAGAATGTTTTAGTTATCTCTTATCTACAAGAGAAAATTGTGTAATTCTCTTTCGTTATAAGTGAGAGTTTCCAATTGTAAATAATAATAAAGAGAAAAAAAAAGCAGAAATTACATTACTTTTGTGAAAACCTCTAAACAATCAAGGCTGCCAGAATCAATAATGTTGGAAAACAATCCGGAAGATTTCTTTGATAAATAGATACATAGATAGATAGATAGATAGATAGATAGATAGATAGATAGATAGATAGATAGATAGATAGATAGATAGATAGATAGATAGATAGATAGATAGATAGATAGATAGATAGATAGATAGATAGATAGATAGATAGATAGATAGATAGATAGATAGATAGATAGATAGATAGATAGATAGATATATTGATAGATAGATAGATAGATAGATAGATAGATAGATAGATAGATAGATAGATAGATAGATAGATAGATAGATAGATAGATAGATAGATAGATAGATAGATAGATAGATAGATAGATAGATAGATAGATAGATAGATAGATAGATAGATAGATAGATAGATAGAAAGATAGAAAGATAGATAGATAGATAGATAGATAGATAGATAGATAGATAGATAGATAGATAGATAGATAGATAGATAGATAGATAGATAGATAGATAGATAGATAGATAGATAGATAGATAGATAGATAGATAGATAGATAGATAGATAGATAGATACATAGATAGATAGATAGATAGATAGATAGATAGATAGATAGATAGATAGATAGATAGATAGATAGATAGATAGATAGATAGATAGATAGATAGATAGATATATAGATAGATAGATAGATAGATAGATAGATAGATAGATAGATAGATAGATAGATAGATAGATAGATAGATAGATAGATAGATAGATAGATAGATAGATAGATAGATAGATAGATAGATAGATAGATAGATAGATAGATAGATAGATAGATAGATAGATAGATAGATAGATAGATAGATAGATAGATAGATAGATAGATAGATAGATAGATAGATAGATAGATAGATAGATAGGGATAGATAGATAGATAGATAGATAGATAGATAGATAGATAGATAGATAGATAGATAGATAGATAGATAGATAGATAGATAGATAGATAGATAGATAGATAGATAGATAGATAGATAGATAGATAGATAGATAGATAGATAGATAGATAGATAGATAGATAGATAGATAGATAGATAGATAGATAGATAGATAGATAGATAGATAGATAGATAGATAGATAGATAGATAGATAGATAGATAGATAGATAGATAGATAGATAGATAGATAGATAGATAGATAGATAGATAGATAGATAGATAGATAGATAGATAGATAGATAGATAGATAGATAGATAGATAGATAGATAGATACATAGATAGATAGATAGATAGATACATAGATAGATAGATAGATAGATAGATAGATAGATAGATAGATAGATAGATAGATAGATAGATAGATAGATAGATAGATAGATAGATAGATAGATAGATAGATAGATAGATAGATAGATAGATAGATAGATAGATAGATAGATAGATAGATAGATAGATAGATAGATAGATAGATAGATAGATAGATAGATAGATAGATAGATAGATAGATAGATAGATAGATAGATAGATAGATAGATAGATAGATAGATAGATAGATAGATAGATAGATAGATAGATAGATAGATAGATAGGTAGATAGATAGAACTTGTAATCCTTAAAAGATTAGAGGGTGAAATGGGAAAACTAGGTAGCTTATCTAATAGCCAAAATGGTTTTCGTAAAGGGCCAATCACTGTAGATGCTATTAGAGAGGTGACGAATAAAGCAACGAGAGCAAAAATAACGAAGCATGTCTATGCGATAGACATTAGAAGTGCGAATCGCTTCCAAGAGTGTAAAATGGAAAGTAGTCAAATATTCTTTAGAAACGCAGGAATATATGACTATTTGTATAATATAGTAGATGACTACCTCAAAAACAGAACATTGCTATATGAAACAACAATATACCATTTGTAGTGCCGGTTGTAGTGCCACAAGTATCGCTACTAGAACCGTTTCTTTGGAACGTTATGTACGATGATCTCCTAAACATTAGAAATTAATCGAATATATGGACAATATTGCTTTGGTTATTATGCAACCACCCAGTGAGCTTAGACAAATTGTAGGAGGTAACAGCCTAAGACGGTGTAAAAATTTACTTAAAGAAAAGGCTTAGCTCGCAGTCACAAAAACAGAAGAGATTTTGGTGACATAAGAGAAAATTTACCCTCCCAAAACTACATCTAGAAAACATAGACATCATACTTAAACGAAACTTATGTTACCTCGGATTGCAACTTGATGAGATACTGAGATTCACACATCACGTAAAGAATATAATGAAAATGAAATACAAAAGCATCAAAGAATAAGTGCATTGTGGGTCATATCGGCGTATCGAACAGTGTCTACAGCTGCAGTATTAGTACTCGCAGGTATTCCACCAATCGACCACTTAGCCATAGAGAAAGAAGAAATATACAAATAGACAAACAAGTCAAATAGATCTCATTACCGACTTCATAACAAGAAAAGTGAAGGCTCGTATTAATATTTTGAGTAAATTGGAAACAAGAGGAAAGCGGAAGGTGGACCTACCATCCTTTGCCTTTAGCTACCTTTTATCTAACACAAGTCATGACAAATCATGGAGATTTCAACAAATACCTACACAGATTTGGTATAAAAGTTTCCCCTATATGATAAATGCAAAGGCAAGGAAGAAACGGCAAGACATATGATCTTCGTGAAAATTATATTAATACAATCTCAAGAATAAAAAGTATACAAATTTCTGAACTTCCTAGAAGGGGGACGTAGGGACTTAAAATAGAAGTAGAAGAAAACCAGTCAACTTGAATAAATGCCACAGTAATACCGATATTGATATGGAGGAGTTATCGTGCTATCACTATGTCCATTAAAAAAAATAGATAGGTAGTTGCTTTATATTCATGTGGCAACTCTGTTAATATGTAAATCTGAATTATCTTTATTTATGATGAAGAAATATAAACAAAATAATCGACAACATACATTTTCTGTATTATAGGTATGTACCTATTTTATTTACTTATTAATTAAATTGTTTAAGCTTGCACAAAGCTGTAGCATTACTTTTTTATTTATATGATTAAATAGTTTTCTAAATGTATCTATTTTTAAACAATTTACTTTAAAATGTGATTTTATGTATTTTACTTTATAGTTTTGTTTGTATGATGAAATAAACAAATACAAAATCATGTGTAGCCAGCTTTTTGTTCTCTCTCTCTCTCTCTCTTCTCTTAAAAAGTGAACGAATAAGCAAAGAATTTTATTTCTAAAGCTGCCAGATTGTTGTTTATTATAATAACGGTAAATTAAAGATTAGTGGAAAATTAGTATACTGAGATATCACTAGATCGATTGCAATAGCTTTTCGAAAATTTCAGGCGACTGCTAACATATTGGCGGGTCTCTGAGAGTTTCTGTTTTAAGCGAAATTAGCGTTGCGTTTAATATTCCAAATTCAGCGAAAATTTTACCAAATACGTACTTAAAATTTGGCAACACTGTTTTTCTATGCCATTTTAATTTTTGTTTACTTCTTTGTTGTTTCGTTTCGTTTTTTTGTTTACCGATTTACTTTGTTGATAAAAACAAAAACATTTGAAATTTGCTCCCAATGAGCTTCCCGCGCTCTCTTATTTCTTTAAAATTTAATATTCTCTTGCATTTAAGGTTTGTTTTTATTACTGTGTTTCTCTTGCCATGGTGCTACTCATCAAGTAATGTTATATAAACAAAACAAAAAATGTGCTTTTTTTTATACAATTCATAATAAAGCGATTTAAGAAGAATAAAATTTTTAATAGATTTTAATAAAAAATATATTTACTAGCAATTACTGTTACATTTCATAGACATTAGTTCTTGTTTGTCCCGCATATTTTGATTGTTTGTAACAAGATCAACCACGCCATATCAACATTTGTGAAAAAAGCCGCATCATGGTTACAAATCAGTTTTTATATATAATTATATACATATTTATGTACATAGATATTTTATTGTATCTGTATACGATATGTACTATAGGTACGAAATGTATTTTTATAAAAATCATTGTTGTTTATATACGGATGTTTGAGAATGCACACATAGTTAGTTACACTGCATCTAGTAATCGTTTGTATTTATCACAACAGCAACAACAATAATAATAACCATTTCAATTGTACAAATGTACATTTGTTATTGTTTGTGTGTTACAATCATTACTGAAATCATACGTACATACATTTTACATATAAAAAATATTCAGTTCAGTATAAATTCATCTGTACAATTACATTTATACAACAAATATTATTTTAGCCATACCCAATTTTATATTTATTTTGTTGTTGTAGATTAAAATGCTCTCCGTTTTCTTTATTTTTATAATATTGTTGTTCTTATTTAAGAAACTTTATCAAAAATGTACACATTCTCTTGGTTATTTGTGTATGTGTGGTTTTTAACCCAAGAAAATCATCACTAGAGTTACCAAAATAACATGACATTTCATTTAAGTTGCCATAGAGTTATTTTGCATTAAGTGTTAAATTGACATGTCAACTTTGACAGTTTGTACAATAATAAAACTTTTTGACCTTTCTCAATATAATTTCAAATGCTAAAAGTTAAAAGTAATTAAGCTAGTAAATACCTGTTGAGTTTATAAAACGTTGCCTTCAGTTTTGAGTTAGTAATTTTGTAGAAAATTACGATATTTTAAAATTGACATTTTGACAGAATCTGTCAAATCTGCTGTATCCAGTCAGATTTGTTTGCTCTGTTTATTTTGTTGGACTGCCTTTCTAGGTGGTATGGCCAAGTAAGCACCAAAAATCTGGACTTTACTTTGTACTGTTGGCTCTCTATGAATATAGGCCATTTACCACTTACCAAATCATGTGACCCAAATCTCTGCAGATTCTGGAAACATAGATAATGCTAATATTTTTCTCAAAACATTTTCAATATTCTCTCTCTGGAAGGAGATTTAATCCTGCTTCTCAGATCTTCTTCTCCAAAACTGCAGATTTTTGGGTATTACAGAATTATAGTCTTTAAAGATGGATCTAACTTAAGACAATATGATTATTGTACACTAGAATTGTACACTAGAAGGAGCCTTTGAAAATACAAAAATTTCCCACTTTCAATACAATATTATTAGTACAAATATTTCGGAAAGAATTCATTAAGATATAGGTTCGAAATATATAGGAATATGTCTTGACAGTTAATCGGCTATTCAATTTCTTTCGCGAATATTAGTGGTTCTTGATGTATGTCCAGTCATTCTAATATAACCAAAGGAATTGACCATGTAATTGACCCAACATTTTCCCCCCGGGGGCTTGTTAAATTGGTGAAATTTCCATCTTGGTGTTATTGCAATATCCTGGAGAAAAGTGGTGCTACCAAATGTATCCTCGGCCTTTTCTTGACATGGGGTCGAACCAGAGCACCATATAATCTGGCACTACGGGTGGCCGGTTGCTCACAGTACCTAGTCCTAGTCGGTTAATTGGTTGATGTTCCTTCGGGGTCCACGTAGTGGCTGTGGTTTAAACCCAAATTCGCGGGGAGAGAATGTTGGTTTAAGGACTGATATATCCAAATGCCATATACAAATGTCTGGATTCTCTCTCCGGTGCTGTTGTCATCTCAACAGATGACACTGGCTGATGTGACGGAGCAACTTATACTGGATGGTTGAGGTCCGTTTACTCAACTTGTAGGGGCAATTATTGGGTTCGAATTGACTTAGGGATTGCATTTTAAATAATGCAATCTTTCATGACATCAAAAGGGCATCTTCCGGTATACCGGAAGATTGATTTCACCTGATATTGGGGTTGTCTCCCCTTCTATTGACTTTAGACCAGTGATTGCTTTTTCCTTGTTCGGGTTTGCATTAGGATTGATCACATGCTGCCTGTCATTCCGGGGCTACTATGGCAAGAGATTCAGCAAAGTGCTTGTACATGGACCGGCACAGCCATGTACAAAAATTGCCACCTAAGTTCTTCATAGATGGAATCAGGGGCGATGATTAGTGGATAAAAAAGATCACCGTGAAATGAGGTCGTCAAGGCAGGTGTTCACGTCAAGCACTTAGACATATTGACCCAACATTTGTTAATAAGGCTTCTCACTGCTAGTTTTCGAAGGCCTGGTAACATCGGTCATTATAGAAAATTCAACTACCCCTGAAGCAGGCTATGGGCTATTACAGAAAAAAATCTATTCGGATGGATTTAAGTTTACCAAATGTTGATTTGCGGATTCCTCCCTTTTATAATCGTTCTTTCTGATCTAGTGTTCATGTTCGATATCACAGGTCGATGACCATGGTGAGAATTTTAAGGGATCCATTTTTTGCTTGACGAGATGTAAATGAAACCTTAATATGTTCTATTATTGTTTAGAATCTTCAAATTACTGAGATATAAACCATCTATCTGTGCTTCGGGTGTCATGAAGTCAATATAGAAATCAAAGTATTCCTAACCAGTCGATTTCAGTATCACAGTCAAGATGCGTTGGAAGTCAATTTCGCCTTGACCGCCTGTCGCAGGTCGATGGATGCGCTATGATGGGGTTCTTGCGAGAACCTCTTTGAGTTTTGATAGGTGCGATGCAGGACAGTGGAATTTTACGACTTAACAAATCAGTCGAGGGTTGATATTCACACGATAAATATCATAATTCGCTCCTCGAGCTTGATCAATGCTATATAGGAACACAAAATTGTCCTGATTCGGTTAATACAAAGACACAAGTCAAGTTTCTAGGGAGACAATGACGGCGGATTGTCTCTCTAACTTAACCGAACCTACTCTGCCACTGATGCCTGAAACAAAATCGAAATATATTGCACTAAAAAGAAAAGTTCTAGAAGTCGTTAAAAATATACAAATGACCAGGCAACACTGGCGCTAAATTTAATTCATACATAACAAGTATGAACAAAAAAAAAACTAATACTAACATGACAGTTTTAGCTACCTCTTCTTCTTTTTCTTATTATTGTTTTTATTATTATTTGGTATACTTTTAAGTTTTCTCTTTTAATTTTTCTTTGCCGATTTGTTTTTTGTTCAATTAATAGCAAAAACAAAATGTTGTTTACTATTCATTTTGCGCATTTATTGAGCACGCGCGTGTCAACAAATAAAACTATGCCACTAACAAAAACACTAATACTCTCAACAGCAGCAACAACAACAACACTGTTTATATACGAACACACAGAGGGACAAGGCAAATTGTGTGTAACATACAAGCAGTAGACAAACAAAATACTACAACTACTCGCAATAGAAACAAAACAAAAATTAGCAAATAACAACAATAGCAACAACAAACGACAATGAAAGAAAATATATGATCAATCGCATATTTTCTTAAAGATTTTACAAATAAACAAAACGTCAAGTAGCAATGTATGTACTTATGCATGCAGTTTTTTAATATCTAGTAAAGTACCAAATACAAAATACACGGGCATATCAAGTACTTGTTGTATTTTTTTCTCAATTTCTCTACATACAAATATGTCTAAATGTATAATAAATTTAAAATAAGTACTTAAAAATAGACAAAGTACAATTTTATTTATTTTTTTGTTAGTTATTGGTATGTGTATTTGTATCTTTTTAAATGCATGTGTATATATTCATACGCACATTATACAATATATGAAAATAAAATTGATGCTTGTTCTTTAAAGGTTTTTTCTTTTTCTTCTGTTCTTAAATACACAAAATATTTTTTTTCATTAAATTGTATGTATAAGCTGTCCATGTGGTCATTTTTAGTTAAATACACGTAAATTGTATTGCTTTTTGAAACATTTACAAAAATATCTAAAAGTGAAATAAAAAAGAAATGGTGGCTAAATTTAAAACATACAAATGACAAAGTGCTTGCTTGCATGCTCATGCTCACATATTGGGGGTAAAGGAATCCCTGCATATACATATAAGAATTTATCCATAAGAGGGATGAAATGATGGCTGGAATTATAGTTGGTGTTACAATTAAAGCCAAAAAAGTGTCATGATTTGGTAGAATTCAGAAAAATATATATGAAATAATATTTCTTTGAAATTTCGAGAAAAAATATATTTCCAATAACGATGGGAGATATCTGGCCGTCATGTCGGTCACATTTCGATTTAATTAATTTTGAAAATCAAACTACGGCACTTATGATCACTTGTACGTTACGTAGCAAGTCCCCAATCCATTATTCTACACAAATCCATTATTCTACACAAATAATTTGAGGAGAAGATTGGACTAAAACAAAGAGAGGATCCTGAAAACATCGGCATATATGATCACCTGAACGTTAAGAAGCATATCGTCGTTTGCTCACGGGGGTATTCAGGCTTAAAACTGGTTTAGAGACATCGGTTATGCGGTAGTTTTGGGAAACTCAATTATTATTCCTATTAATACCGACTGCTACTCACCCAATTTTCTCCCAACCAAACAAGTTGCGGAGAAGATTGGACAAAAACAATGAGAGGATCCTGCAAAGCCAAAAATTCGGTGATCAGGCTTAAAACTGTTAGCGATAAGCATGGGAAAATCGGCTATGCGACGGTTTTGGGAAACTTAATAATTTTTCCTATTAAGACCGGCTGCTACTCACCCAGTCCCATCCCCAACAAACAAGTTGAGGAAGAGGTTGGACTAAAACAAAAAGAGGAGCCTGTAAACCGTGACAATTACACGTTGTACGTTACGATGCATGACGCTCTCTCATTCCCAGGAAATTGACCCTTATCTCGGTGATTAGGCTTTACGATAATAAAATTCTTGGAAACATCGGCAATTTGACTATTTTGGGAAACTCTACTAATATCCCTATTAATACCGACTGCTATTCACCCAATTTCTTCTCAAACAAACAAAAAATGATCCTAAAAACGTTGTACGTCACGGAACATCATACCGGGCTCTCTTCGTTTTATTGAAATGGCCTTCCGATCTCATGACTAAGTAATTGGCCCAAAACTCAGCAGTTTGGAAGACTAGAAACATAATATTACCCTCTTCAAGAAGTTGTTTACTGTGCCTACATTCGTTGATGTTACATACGAATTCTGCGTACAATCAGGTCTACAACCATGATGGTAGCCTTACAAGAGCTCATGGAAAAAAAACATTACTTTGGGCAGTTAAATTTTGGATGACTTAGGGGTTCTAGTAAAGAACCTAGATTAGAAGTTAGTTTAATATACATATTTTTCGAATAATACAAGGGACCAGTCTATAGACCGAGTCGGTTGTTATACCCGGCTGTTTTAATAATTTAAATTATCTTTAGCAGAGGTGTGTTGCCATCTTGCTATAGATTATTCTGAATCTACAATCTACCGATGTACTCCAATTCAACATAAACTTTATCATGATAACAGTAATCCCGTGCATTGTGCT